TGGATGCCCTTCCTGGTACTCCACTCATCCATGCTTGGGACAGCTGTTACTCAGTGGGTGTACGTTAGGTGGCGACATGCCACTCATCGCGTTGGTTTGCGACACGGAAAAAGAATAAGAAAAAGAAACGGCAGTCTTTTCAGCCACAACCCTCTTTTGACCAAAATAGAGCAGCAGACATCAAATAGTTAGAAATGGCTGCCACCGGAGTTCTTCCCTTTATACGGGGGGTAGACCTCAGTGGAAACGACTTTAAAGTAAGGATTTTTAAACAGCATTCACTGATTTTCACACCCTCCGATGTTTAGTAAATACGACGTTAGCGTAGCTGGAGCGACTTCAGTCATTCTCAGAGCAACAAACGGCAGGGCTAGCTATAAACTAGCTTAGCTTAACGTTACTAGCATTGGGCGTTAGCCAGTTGTCAGAGTGACACAGTCTGCTCTCAGCCACCACCGCCCAGTTTGGTGGTTAACACAGTTCTTATTTGACGTGTTGGTTTGCGAATGATATATATTTTTAGCTCGTCAGCTAGCGTTAATATTATTTTTGTGAAGTTGTTGATGAGCCAGGTCTTATTTTCACCGACATGTTAGCTAAGTAATCTAGCCACACTTATGGCTAACTAAACGTCTGTTACAGAAGCTCAAGCTCCGTGTTCTAACTTGTCAGAAAGTGAAGTTGACAAACAGCGTCAGCTAACTAATAGAGCCTGCTGTTGATTTTAGGTTGCGACACCCTTTTGTGAGCTTATTTTGGGAGAGTGGAAAAAACAGCCCGATTGACAGCTGCGATCACCTGGCATGTATTTGTCCTGACACAACTATTTACGTATCCCCGTCAAAGTATTGGAAATGTGCTGCTTAAACAACTGAGTTATCTGTTAGTCGATCGGTGGCTTTTGATTGAAATCTGCCAGTACATGAAGAGATCATTTCCTTATATTCCAAATGCTTTAGCATATGTAGACCTAGCATTTCTCTTCCTTGATGTGTGCACTTTTCATCTGTTAAAAAAAATCAAGATTAATGCTATTTGCCCATTTGTATGAAAATGTGCCACTGTCACTTTTTATGCAACCTGAACATGCGTGCAGTTCGTTCCTATAATTGGCAATGAGATTGTTAGAGTATCTTTTGGGGGAAGTTGTTTAAAAATATAATCTTTCTCTGGTAGCATGTCTGCGATTTTGTTTCAGGTGTTTCAGTGCTTTGGTAAATCCTGAAAAATTCAGCCCCCCTGCGCTATAACAAAGTAAGTTCTTGCATTGTTGCTGTCAAAAGTCATGTATTTTTGTGTCATCTCACTCAGGGTGGATACTTCCCAGAGCACGTTAAGTGTATGAGCAGCCTGCGATGGCTGAAACTGAACAGGACAGGACTGTGTTACCTCCCAGAGGAGCTGGCCTCTCTGCAGAAGCTGGTGAGACATCCTGACTAGTTAGGAGCATCTTCATACATGAAGTCATTTATGTCATTATATGTGTGTATGTGCATCTAAAATTCAATTAGATAAGAATTTTTTGTGAGTAGACCTTGTTGTAATGGCCACAGTCTTTTTGTTTTACATCTGTACTGTGCAGTTTTCCAAAGATAAAAGGATCAAGGAACTGTTTATTTTATCAAGTGAGGTAGATATTCGTGCAAGAAAATTATTTATACAGGAGATGAGACAGATCAAAGCTCAATATATTTTCATTTTGTCCTTGCTGGATTCACTTTGTATTTGTGGTCACATGAACAAGTTTAAACTGTGTTTGAAGTCAAAACATAGAAGTATTTAATCTGATAGCAGGTAACTACAAGGGTGCAATCAGCAGATTGATTTGCTTGTGAAACACGCACACATACCCTGTATTCTCATGACTTGTGAAGACCAAAGTATAGCAGTGACATGTGTCTGTGTGTATTTTCCCTTTTTAGGAGCACCTTTCAGTGAGTCACAACAACCTGACCACTTTACATGGGGAACTGTCCAGCTTACCGAATCTACGGGTAACTAAAAAAACATAAAAACCGCATGCCTTTAAAAAAAAGTAGAAAAAATGGAAATGATGTTCCACCCATACATTAAAAAACAGAGCTCCTGCCACATGATTGCTTCTTTCTTTGTACACCAGTGTGTAATCTAGTATTCTAAATTTTGTCTGCAGGCGGTGGTAGCCAGAGCCAACAATCTGAAAAATTCTGGAGTCCCAGATGACATTTTTCAGCTCGATGACCTCTCTGTGCTGGTACACAAACGTCTCTTAACTCTCATACTTTCAACACACCCTTAAATTTAACACTAACATTTTGAGCATGAATCATTTTCTTCCAGTCCACTACTTTTGCTTTATTTATTCACATTCTCCTCCACCAGGACCTGAGCTACAATCAGCTGACAGAGATCCCCAGGGACCTGGAGAACAGCAAGAACATGCTGGTGCTCAATCTGAGCCACAACAGCATCGACTCCATCCCCAACCAGTTGTTCATCAATCTGACAGACCTGCTGTATCTGGACCTGAGTGACAACAAGCTGGACAGCTTGCCACCCCAGATGAGACGCCTGGTGCACCTGCAGACTCTGATTCTAAACAACAACCCGCTGATGCATGCCCAGTTGCGGTAAAAAAAAAGATTTAATATTGCATCATTTTTTTGCCAACCTCTGTTCAATTTAACAGTCACCTTATACCTTTAAACAAACATCCAGAAAGGATGATTTTATCTTTTAAACCTCCTTACTGATTTTAGTGCTTCTTCTTTTATTGTCTGAGCAGTCAGCTCCCAGCAATGGTGGCATTACAGACTCTGCACCTGAGGAACACCCAGAGAACACAGAGCAACATGCCCACCAGCCTGGAGGGACTAACACAATTAGCAGGTAACACCATAAACACACACACCTATCGGCGTTTTGCAAACATGTGTTCTCTGTTTCATATTCTATTCTTTTGTCCCTCCAAGATGTTGACCTTTCATGTAATGACCTGACTCGAGTACCAGAGTGCCTGTATTCACTGAGCAGTCTGAAGAGGCTGAACCTGAGCAGTAATCAGATTTCTGAGCTCTCGCTCTGCATGGACCAGTGGACCCAGCTGGAGACGCTTAACCTAAGCCGCAACCAGCTCACCTCACTGCCTGTAAGGACCATGAGCAGGCAGCTGCCATTTTTCTATTCTATTCTGTTAACTAACATTAGAAGCACAAGCAGAAACAAATTTGTTGCTTTAGTATCCTGCAGAGGGGAAGCGGAGACACAGGAAAAAGAAATGTATTTCATGTGGAATTTCCCATAATATAAAGTTTGGTTTTGTTTTCTCCAACCAGTCTGCCATCTGTAAGCTGTCCAAACTGAAGAAGCTGTACCTCAACTCCAACAAACTGGACTTTGATGGGGTTCCACCCGGAGTGGGCAAACTGTCCAACCTCACTGAATTCATGGCTGCTAACAACAACCTGGAACTCATCCCTGAGGGACTCTGCAGGTTAGTTTAACCCATAAACAAACACACAGTTTTTGGGCAATCAGCTGACACTTAAAATAATTTAGTTTACATTGCTCATTCCAGTTTACACAAGAAATATTAAAGCTTCTTGTGTTTTTGTGTTGTCCAGGTGTGGCAAGCTGAAGAAGCTGGTGCTGAATAAAAACCGTCTGGTTACCTTACCTGAGGCTATCCACTTCTTGACAGACTTAGAGGTACAGTACTCTAGTAAAGTAATCAGATTATATTAGAATTAAAGTACCTTTACACACAATGTTTGTAATATTTGGCTAAATGGAGCATAACAGTGGTTGTGATCCTTTTATTGGCGAAAAAAAACCCCAGCAAGCTTGAGTCATGACTGAAGAGACAGTCCAGGATGAAGTTTGAGCAGTGAATGTAATGAGATGGAACTATGTAATGATGTTTTGCTTAAACAAATTAGAATCGTGATTGACCGTGTAACAAACAAATGGTTTATTAAATATGCCTTGGTTTTTTTTTTTCCCCCCTGCTGTAATTTAGGAAAAGAATTTCTGCCTGAAACGCACTCACAAACACACTCCCGTCTCTCTCTGTAGGTGCTTGATGTGCGTGAGAACCCCAACCTCGTGATGCCTCCTAAACCAGTCGACCGCGCAGCAGAGTGGTACAACATTGACTTCTCCCTACAGAACCAGCTCCGTCTGGCCGGAGCCTCCCCTGCTACCGTTGCAGCCGCAGGAGGAGGTAAGACAGCTTCTAAATATGAATGAATGTATTGGTAACAACAGTATGTTTTGTTGTTTCCTTCTTTGCATACATCTTGATTATTTCCTGGAGGCTCAGATCTGCATCTTTGTACACATTTGTCCAGGAGCCAGTCCCCGGGATCCCATGGCAAGGAGGATGCGACTGAGGAGGAGGAAGGACTGTTCTCAGGATGATCAAGCAAAGCAAGTGCTGAAGGGCATGAGTGATGTCGCACATGAGAAGAAGAATTTGGAGGTAAGGCAAAAGACAAGTTAAGGACATCAAACAGATCCTGGAACTTCACAAAGAAGAAATAGGGATTTAAGTTCTGCATGACAGTTATTATTCATGTTATTGGAAGCTGTTGGAATTACATTTACTAGTAATGCTTCAGGATTATTTGGCCTGTGAGTTTAGTCAATAATCATCAGTTGTTAGGTGGTTGCTAGGCAACATGATGGCGTCTTAATATATTATGTAACATGCAAGTATTGTGGATATAAATTAATTTCATTTGTTAAATATGTGTAAAATGTGCTATTTAGGTTAGCAATAAATGTTTTGCAGGTGCATAAATATTATAAATGAGTTGTTTTAGCCCTTTGGTAGGTTGTTACTAAGCAACATGATTGCATCAGAATAAAATTAGGTGGTTATGACTTAGATTTTATTGTTGGAAGGTTATACAGTGTTATACAGGATAAGTAAATACAACAGAAGGGTATTTTAAACCTATTGATAGGTGGTTGTTAGGTAATGTGATGACATCATGATTTGTGATATAGATAACAACCCGCAGTGGTTCCCTCAGATTACTGCAGCCCTGTGGTGTAAACACACCTAAAGCTGGGGTTGTGCTTCACACGTCCACAGGTCCACTCAGATCCAAGTGATTTAAATGTAATCATCAGACAGTGAGCTCAATGGTCAGTATGGATGTCTGTTTTTTGAACTTATCTGCAAAGAATTTAATGACACTGTACCAACTATACATGTGGTCCAGGCGGTGGACTTCTCAGCTGCTGGGTCTCCAACTGTTTGTCTGTGTGCACAGCAGAGTATAATCAAGGCCTAAGGTTTACAGTAATCTGATAAGTGAGTAAGTTCAGCCTACTCCAACTTAAAGTCAGGTTATTCGGCTCTATTAAGTACTTGTTGTCGTGTGAATGTCTTTAGATTATGTTTAGATGAAATATAAACGACTGGTAGAAGAAATGGCTGCGTAATCCTTACAAAGAAATCCTTTAATTTTGCAGGAAAACGGGGATTTGAAATATGGTGATTTAAAAGTCCGGCGCTGGGACAAGAGCCTAGAGAAGCCTCAGCTGGACTACTCGGAGTTCTATATGGAGGATGTGGGGCAGGTAATATGTGTGTGTGTGTGTGTGTCTGTGTGTGAAAACACCCAACTCCAACAATCAGCAACTCCTACTTCCTATTTGTGTTTAAATGACTGTTTACAGTCTGCATCACATGGAGTCCTGCTGGCTCCTCAGAGTGCTGTATGCTGCACTTCACATTCTCTCAGAAGGCTTTCTCTCCACACTCCGACACAGCTGGGGGCAGTTTTAGGCTGGATTTCTTGCCAAGGACATGCAGACTGGGCGAACTGGGGATCAAACCCCCTGTTGAGCCACATCCTCCCTTAAATGGGACAGAAGAGTGGTCAGTCGACAGTTTAGAGGTCTAAACTAAATGTAACCTTACATATTTCTGTTGTTGTTCTTCTCCAGATTCCAGGTGTGACAGTGTGGCAGATAGAGAACTTCATTCCCCTACAAGTGGACGAAGCTTTGCACGGCAAGTTCTACGAGGCCGACTGTTACATCATCCTCAAGGTAACGTGTCATTTAAGTGTGTTTGCCTCAGAGGAGTCTGATCAGCAAAACAAAGCGGGATAAACTCGTCTGTTTGGTCACGATAATGTGCAATATAAACAATATTCCAGTCATTAATCTTACAATTTTCAATTACAGACATATCTGGATGACAATGGAGCATTAAACTGGCAGATCTTCTACTGGATTGGTCAGGAAGCCACCCTGGACAAGAAGGCCGGCTCTGCCATCCATGCAGTCAACCTCAGAAATTTCCTAGGAGCAGAGTGCCGGACGATAAGGGAAGAGATGGGAGACGAGAGCGACGAGTTTACTGCCGTATGTAGAAACATTAAAACAACTACACGTACCTGTGTGAGCAGTTATTTGCTTTGTGCTGTCATAAATGACCTTCTCTTGTGTTCAGGTTTTTAACAATGACATCTCTTACATCGAGGGAGGAACAGCCAGTGGATTTTACACTGTGGAAGAGACACAGTATCCACTAAGGTAGGCTGGAGCACCTTTTTACTTAGAAAATGACTCATTGCAATGTGCAGAAACACGTTAGCTTTAAACAGCTGCTCATATCTTTATGTTGAGCCTAATTTTGTGAGTGTATCAGCTGTAAATTCAAAGTACTGCGTCTGCTCAGGCTCAGAGCACTTTAACAGGCTCGAATGCTTTCATGTGTTTATCAGGTTGTACAGAGTCTACGGCAAGAAAAACATCAAACTGGAGTCTGTTCCTGTAAAGGCCTCGTCCCTCGATCCACGGTGACTTTGAACACACTCTTGCTGCAACACTCTCTGACACCCACCAGCTCTCTACACATTCCAGCACAGTTGACACACAGTCATCATCCTCTTTATATCCTTAATCTTCAAGCTTTAATTTCTCCTATTGGAACTCGGAGCATTGTGTCCATAACATCCTGCGTTTTTCCTTATCGGCAGCTTCGTCTTCCTGTTGGATTCAGGCCTGGAAATCTTTATCTGGAGAGGAGCCAACGCTACTCTCAGCGCCACCACCAAGGCCAGGTGAGACGCTAACCGACGGTGTTAGAGACACTGTACCGATTATTATAGCCCAGAAAGTTGGTGAAATGTCATGTGATTTGTTGTCATCCTCCAGGTTATTTGCTGAAAAGATAAATAAGAACGAACGTAAGGGGAAGTCAGAGATCATCACCCTCATGCACAACCAGGAGCCTCCAGGATTCTGGGAGACGCTGGGAGGGCAGCCAGAGGAGATCAAGAAACACGTGCCAGATGACTTCACTCCAATAAGACCTAAACTATATAAAGTAAATATTTATTGATGTTTACATGCTGTGAATATCTTTTAGTTGAACTTCACATTAATTTTTAAGGTGGCACAAGTGTAAAGTGTGTTGGTCAGTGTTGTAGGGGATGCAGACCTGAAGCTGCATGTGGTTTTTTGTTTGTTTGTTTGTTTGTTTTTTTGGAGGGGGGGGTTGTTTGTTTGTTTACATCAGTTAACCGTAACCCTTCTGTAGCCTGAAAAATCATCTGCATGACAGCCCATATTTAATTTACAGCTCTTAGACATTACTCGGATATGAGAGACTCAAAGCAAAGATTCATCAGTGGCTTTTACTTTTTAATCTCTCTTCTAGGTGGGCTTGGGTCTTGGCTACCTGGAGCTGCCTCAGATTAACTACAAGCTCTCAGTCGAGCACAAAGATCACAAGGTCAAACTGGACGTCCTGCCAGAGCTCAGACTGGTACGTCCATCTGCTGCAAATGAGCAGCAGTAAAGTCCTGTTTCACCTTTCTTCCCTTCATGTTGCACTCCATAAATTCACCCTCCTTTCCTTCTATGTCTGCCCCTTTCCTCAGTTGCAGTCCCTGCTGGACACAAAGTGCGTTTACATCCTGGACTGCTGGTCTGACGTCTTCATCTGGATCGGGAGGAAGTCTCCCCGTCTCATCCGAGCCGCCGCCTTAAAGCTTGGTCAGGAGCTGTGCTCCATGCTGCACCGGCCCAAACACGCATGTGTCACCCGCAACCTGGAGGGCACAGAGTGCCAGGTAAACATCTACTGAAGCCACTGCAGTTGAATACGGTTTAAATATCATTGTTACTTTTTAATCTACACTCTTTAAAACTATTTTCTTCCTGCTTAACCTCTCCTCTGCTTCATCCTCTTCCTCAGGTTTTCAAGTCCAAGTTTAAGAATTGGGATGATGTGCTGAAGGTGGACTACACCAGAGCAGCGGAGACTGTGCAACAGAAGGATAATCTGCAGGGCAAGGTCAGTGACACATGCTGACCAGCATCAGACTGTTTTTTGTTTTTTTTTATGCACAAGTTAAACTGTGCTCTTCTTTCAGGTGAAGAAGGATGCAGAGCAGAAAGACCAGATGAAAGCTGACCTCACAGCTCTCTTCCTTCCCAGGCAGCCACCCATGCCCCTCACTGAGGTAACAACGCAGTGCAGTTGATTTCTACCTTTGACTGTTGTTGACTTTGTAAAGCACAGTAAAACAACATATTTACTGTATTACCTGTGTAGGCTGAACAGCTGATGGAGGAGTGGAACGAGGACCTAGATGGCATGGAAGGATTTGTGTTGGAGGGAAAGAAGTTTGCTCGCCTCCCTGAGGAGGAGTTTGGGCACTTCTACACACAAGATTGTTATGTCTTCCTCTGCAGGTAGACAAGTCTTTCTGGGGCTGTAATGCTGGAATTGATTTCAAAGATGAAGAAAAACCTCATTTTACTGGTGACTTTCTGTGCTTTGTTAGATACTGGGTGCCTGTGGAGTACGAGGATGAAGAGAAGGAAAAGAAGGAGGGTGAGCAAGGAGCAGGGGGAGATGGGGAGGAGGAGGACAAACAGCCTGAGGAGGACTTCCAGTGTGTAGTTTATTTCTGGCAGGGCAGGCAGGCCTCCAACATGGGCTGGCTCACCTTCACCTTCTCCCTGCAGAAGAAGTTTGAGAGTCTTTTCCCTGGAAAACTGCAAGTACGAGCAAAGAGTTTAATCTAGTTTCTGGAATTTTGTTTTTCCAAAATAAGAAAAAAATGTTTACCACACTACATCCATCAGCATCACAATGACAGTCACGTCCTGTTTTGTTGTTTAGGTGGTGCGTATGACTCAGCAGCAGGAGAACCTCAAGTTCCTGTCCCACTTTAAGAGGAAGTTCATCATCCACAAAGGGAAGAGGAAACAGAACACCGACTCTGCCCAGCCCTCCCTCTACCACATACGCACCAATGGCAGCGCACTTTGCACCAGGCATGCAAAACCTGCTTCTTTTGTCCTCAGAAAAGTTTGAATGTTTTGATGCATGCCAGCTTCCACTCCCCCAGAAAGATCTTTTTTTTTTTTGTTTTTTTTTTTTTTTTAAAAAAAAAAAAAGCTAAACATGTTCCCTCCATCTCTCTCTTAGAACCATTCAGATTGGTACAGATTCCGGCAATCTCAACTCTGAGTTCTGCTACATACTCAAGGTTTGGATATAAAAAAAAACATCTGTCATTCAAGCAACTTAATAAAGACAAAGCATGATTTCATGTGGATCCAATCCCAAAATGTGCTTTCTGCAGGTACCGTTTGAGAGCACAGATAATCAGGGCATCGTTTACACCTGGGTGGGCAGAGCCGCCGATCCCGATGAAGGAAAGCTGGCCGAGGACATCATGAACAGCATGTTCGACGACACGTACAGCAAGCAGGTGAGATCATGTGCAAGCATGGATCTTCACGGGTATTGTCGTCCCCCTTCCATACAGACAGGCGGTGTAGGCACCCAAGTTTGTGACTGCGGTAACTCAAGAAAAAGGCAAAATAGGAGTTTGAAATTGACACCGTAGGTGTGTCTACTGGGAGGCTGAGGGGGACCACTGGTACCCGCCAGTGTTTGTTTATTTATTTATTCTGCATACAGCTAATACAGTCAAGTAGAAACCTCTGCACACTTAACCGTTAACTTTGAGTTCAAGTGCTTTCATCCTTTACTACAGCTGCTCAGTGCTTACATAGCAGATACCTTTTTATAAATTCTTGATTTATTACATATTCCATTACATTATATAACATGATTTAATTTCAATTTAGTCTTTAATTCTTCGTAACCTGGCTGATATTTGTTATTTATCTGTATCAGCATCTGTAGAAGTGAGAAAGACGCAAGAGGAACACCCTTCAGCCATGTTACGGGTGCTGATGTTGCATAGTTTGTCCACCAGAGGGCACTCTATAACTTCCCGTGTTAGCAAAATCTGTATACTATATACTGTAACATTATCTTATTAAGGACTCACAAATAACTACACCCAGCAGTTGCTATGGAAACCTATTTGTGTGTCGTGTGTTTGAAAGAGGAAAACAAAAAGTCAGGCCTTTACCAGATTTGACAAATCAGCAAGTTCTGAAAGTAGGCTACCAAACAGCCAACTCACAGGGGCCTTCTTCAAAAGCTGGGACGTGACAGCTGCTGGCATTATGAGTCATTCGATAAAACAAAATCCATCCTCGCTAAAAAGCAAGATAATGAATCTTTAATTTTTCTGAGACTGCTGCATACGTCTCCTCGGCAGTGATGAAACTTCACAGCATCGTCACTTTGAGATTTACCTCCAAAAACTTGTTTGTAGCCGCTTTTGACAGTTTCCCCCTCAGCAGCTCTGCAGGTGTGCGGGTAAAAATGATCATACAGGAAATGAGAGACTCACTTGTGACTAATGGAAGCATTGGCCTCTCTTTTAAACTCTCGAAAGAAGATTGTGTGCCTTCAGCAGTGGAAATGCAGTCACAGCACCATCATTAATGTGTCTCCTAGGTGATTAATGAAGGGGAGGAGCCAGAGAACTTCTTCTGGGTGGGCATTGGTTCTCAGAAACCTTATGATGAAGACGCAGAGTACATGAAACACGCTCGTCTCTTCCGGTGAGTAACTGTTCGTGTTTTTACACATTACAGTATAAAACAGCTGCTTTTCTCTTTCACTCATCACATTGGTTCTATCTTTGTGGCGTTTTCCTCCTTTCCCCTCTACTCTTCTGCTTCAGGTGTTCAAACGAGAAAGGTTATTTCTCTGTGTCAGAGAAGTGCTCAGACTTCTGCCAGGATGACTTGGCTGATGATGACATCATGTTGCTGGATAACGGCAAAGAGGTAGAAACGGTTAAGGATTGGTGTGTTGATGGACTTTGTTAGGTTTTATCATCATACTTGATATCATTTTTCCTTCAGGTGTACATGTGGGTTGGTACCCAGACTAGCCAGGTGGAGATCAAACTCAGTCTCAAAGCCTGCCAGGTGAGTAGGGGGAGTGCACTTTCTGTGTGCGTGCTTTGTGTTATCCACATCTTTGTAACTGCTCCTCCTCCCTCTCAGGTTTACATCCAGCACATGCGCTCCAAGGAAACCGAACAATCGAGGAAGCTTCGGCTGGTGAGGAAGGGCAACGAGCCTCACTGCTTCACGCGCTGCTTCCACGCCTGGGGACCCTTCAAAACTCCCCCTGCATAGGCCAAACACTATCCCAATCACACACACTGCCAGAGAGTTCTCTACAGAAATGTATCCCAGCTTTACCCGAGACCGTTCCCCTCCATCCATGCTCAGCAGCCTTTTTGGTCAAGCGGCTGCTGGCTGCTAAGTATCTGATATAGACTGCAAATTACCCCCTTCCCTCTTTTCCCCCAAGCTTTTTTATTTTCTTAGCAAGTCTGAATTAAAGAATTATGTTTTGAGATAAAAATGGGCTTTATGAAAACCTAAGGGAGCTGCACCGTCTAACATATCGATCTGTTCTGCTGCTTTCACGTGGCTCGTGCTGCATGGTCGACAGTCGTCAGCGGGGAGGGCTAGGCGCTCCTTCACGCAGCTTAAGGCAGGGACTAGTGTGTATTCTCGTCGTCATTGAGGGACTGAACACGAAACAGCACTATAATAGTTTTTCTGAGGAATGTCATTTTATATATTATATATTTTTCATGAAGTGTGAGTGTCTACCCTGTGCGCCTTTGCTGAAATGGGGTAATCCCCTTAGTATACTTTTGCTCTCACCTCCTGATCCTGTTAAGAGCATGATGGACAGTAATTTAAGTAAAGTAACACAGTCACGTTTATTTGGCCAAAGAAATCTTGTCAGGGTCAGAGCAAAGTCTTTTGGGGTTTTTTTGTAATGTTTGAGGACTGATGTTTGTGCAATTGGTGAAGGTCGGGAGTTTCTGAAACTGAACAATACTGTATTCTTCATCACAGGCTGCTTTTAACTTGTCAAATGTTTATTTTCTGGAGAGAATCCGAAGAAAGAAGATATTTCTTTCCAAAATAAAAAATAGAGAATGTGTACCTACATTTGAAAAAGTAAATGCATGATATTTAAAATGCTACAGGTTTAAAACTTTAGGCGCACGTTTGCTTTTCAAATAGCTTCCTTATTGGGACAGAACTCCGAAATGGGAGAGCTCGAGCATTGTATCGTGACTTCTGGTTCTGCTAATCTTTGAGTTGTTAAAGCACTTTTTAAAAATCATTGCAGCCGGCGCCGTCAAACTAAACTGCTGCGGTGCTTCTAATGATCATGTGACCTGTGTTGGATGTTGGCACTGGTGCAGGCAAAACCCAGTCTGTGTTCCCAGATGGCTGCAACTTCCATCATTTTGGTTAATATTGTGTGGGGTGTATGCCTGTCTGTGTGTTTGAGTCCTGCACACATACATGTGTGTATCTGAAAATGTGCACATGCTCCTGATGCCACCTGCAGATGCTTTATTTATGTATTTTATATAAAAATAAAATTTCACATCACATCTTTGTCCATCTGGTCTTTTTTAAAGCATCAGATCTTCAAACTGAGGCATTTTCAAGCAAGGTGTCAAACCTCTTAAGCGCTCTAACAAAGCAGAGGTGATTTGTAAGCACAAACCAAACTTGAGTTTGAGTGTAAATAATTTTATTAACATTCAATTCTTCATCAGCCAAACTGCTAAATGACCCGATTAATAAATTCCTACACACGAAACTGACAAAAATAGAAACAGATTCATCTTAAATGTGGATTAAGAAGGTAAATCGTGCCAGCTGTAGCATGAAAGGGTTAATTATGTGCATCAACCAGTACGCCGAGAGAGGGAAAAAAGCTAACATTTTAAAAAGGCATTAACATGACTCCTACCTGCTGAGCTAAATTAGTTAGTGGTGACGTGTGTTAAAGTGAGGGAACACCGAGTGGTTTTAAGGTTATGACAGTTTCAAATACTTCCCTCTTTTCTTGTGTGAACCCAGATATAGATGCTGTATACATTTGTTTCTATATACAGTAAAACGTATTTTTAAAAAAAACACAAGGGGGGTAAAAATACTAGCAATCAAAGCTCTGTGTGTAACCAACACTACGCAGAATGCACCAACTCAGAGACCCCCCCTCCAAAAAAAGTAGTCCCACTCCATTTCCACGCTAACTTTGCTTAGCTTGCAACACTTCCCTGAGTCCCGCCCGAAGGTTTCTGCATGCTGCGATGAAGGAGGAGGGTTCAGGAGAGAGACCCACTTTCCACCTTCATCCACATGTTTGAATTATTGACAAAATATATTTTAAATTTCAAACAGGCTGACACTGCACAGTAACCTCACATCACATGGCCCCGCTGACTCCCACTGTAGTCGGGGACAGTGATGCCACGGGGGTCCTTTATAAGAGGTGTTAACATGGGAGGGAAAGCAGATGTTCTGCCACAGTCACTGAACACGAGGATGGTAATTCTGTGTTTATTACCCCTGTGACATCACTGCCCGGCTCTTTAGCAATAAAGATATTTCAAAAGTTAAAAAATAAATCACCAAAATCTGCCCTCTGCCCCAGCTGGTTCCCTTCGTAGTCACAGTATGAATTTTTAATATTTCCTCACTTCATTCATCAATGAAAATATCTTCACTTTCTCCAAAAGCCATAGAAAAGTTTGCAATACAAAAACACCTCCACTGTCCCACACTCAGCTTCCTCCTCAGTACCCACAGAGTGGAGAGAGCTTCTCAGAGCCTGCTGCCGATTTCAGCGCTGCCTCGACCCCCACAGGAGAAAAAGTCAGCTGCCTTTGTTGGCACCTATAGAGAAATGCTACAACTTTAAGACTCATACTCAAAATACTTCATTTGCTATTCTGTCTTCAACACTACAGTGCTCTCCTTCAGGCTCTGCTGGACAATCTTGGTTCTTTTTAAACGGGTTATTCACAGGACGCGTCAGGAAGAGCGGTCCATCGCATCCGCTCATGTGCTGAAGATCAAGAAGGGAATTTGGCAACTGCAAAACCTCAGGCCGAGCCAGGCGCGCCACAGGCTGCAGGTGGAGGGAAAAAAGTGACCATCGAGTCTCCGCTGTAGACTGTGACGGCTCTTTCCTCGAATGCTGAGCTGAAGGGCCGATAACAGATGAACACAAAGACCTCAAAGACGGACGTTTCAGTTTGAGCTCTTGAAATCAGAACCATCAGCTCCAAGGCCGACCCCACGCCACACTGTGCCCACTTTGTGTCTCCACATCGGAGGAAACGACATGTTTCCAAAGGGGTTCCAGAAGAAGACAATAGAGAATTTGTTCTTCCAGCAGGAGGAACCACAACAAGTGTTTTTAACGTTGGATTCTGTGTCTGGAGTAAGACTTTCATCCCAGCTTGTGCCAGGTAAACGAGAGAGTGCAGAGTGCTGGCAGGGGGCTCCACTGTGGGCTGATGGGAGATGTTTGTGGTCCAGCACTGAAATCCAATCCATCACGACCACCTGAGCCCCTCCCTGTAATACTGAAATAAACAAATACATAATTACAAGAAAATTCACAATAAATCGGCTCAACTAACAAACCAAACACACAACACATTGAGCTCCATGAAGCTAACTCCTAATTCAGAACAAGCTAATGACTTAGTCACACAAGGAAAAAATGAATTAAAAAATAAATACTGAACAGCAGCCGTCTCACATCCACAAAAGAAGAAAAGATTTCCAAATGTTTACTTGTGTAATGTTTCTGTCTGTGTACACCGCAACACGTGATTTTCAATGATTTATCAGTTATTTGCTGTAATATCTGAAACAGACTGCAACTGAATGGGGTCAAGTTGGCAATTACATGCAGTGTAACACCGTCTTATGGCAACATTTACAGCAGTTTTCAGTCACACTGTTAGTACGACTGACAATCTTGCTTTGCACAAAAAACAAGAAAAACCCTGAAGTCATATTTATTTATTTTGGGAGGGGTGACGACAGATGTTGAGTTTCCTTTGTCAAATCTGTGCAAAGATATTTTTTGAGCACCACGAGAGGGAAGCAGAGACTTAAAATAAATACTATCCTGTCATAAATAATAACCTTATAATCTAAATCAAGTAAACGAGCTCTTATTTGTGAAACCCCAGTGTCTTAAGGAAACCCGCTGAGGACACGTGTTGGTCACAGCTGCAGAAAATCTGATTGATGTGAAGTAAAAGTTGCAAATGTTTGAAATAATAACCAGAACAGTGAGGAAAAAAGAAAAAAGTTCATGAGCCCGTTCCGTGTACTTTATAATGACAGTAACCAAAAATACTGAGCTACAGCTTGAAGCTTCAGTGCGCCTCGGTGCAAAGGTTTTCAGCTCGACTGGCTTTCAGAGACACATAGTTTGGGTGGAAACAGTGTGGACGGCTCGTTATTGGAATGCAGCGCTCAGACAGAGCGGCTCTTTGAAGTTTGCACAGTCTGGATGCGCTCCATTAGAAACAGGTGTGTGTGTGTGTGTGTGTGTGTGTGTGTCCACTCGCTCTGATACCCTCACCATAGAGGTGGACGGGCTTCAAGGACTATGAGGTTAATAAACCAATGTTTCTCACCTGTTCAGTTGATGAGGATGCCAGTCGATCGTCCTTCCTCTTCTTTGATATTCTTCAGGTTATTTTCTGCCTCGTCCACACTTCTGTAGCACGGACGCGCAAATTATTTATCGTCTTTGCC